GCCTTTTAACAATCAGTTCTGATTCATCTCCTCTTGCTGTTCCTTCCAGCTTCCAGCTGGGCACAATGGGGCCCCTTCAGTCTGCAGCCTGCAATTAGAGCACATGTGTCAGGAATCCTGCTGATCCAGGCCCCTTCTCCACCCTGGGCTGGTCCTACCCTGGTAGAGAAGAAGCTAAAATAGTTCCTCTGTTTCCTAGGAGGAAATGAGCCAGAGGTGGACCTGGAGGGGACTGATCATTTCTTGGGGATGCCTCAGTGGAGAAGGGGACAGAGCCAGAAAGATATTTGCACCTTGGGGGCATTCCCTTGAATGCTAGTTTGTTTTAGGGTGTGTTGTGGACATCCATGCAACGCCTGTGTTCACACCGACTCATCGTTTTCTTTATTTTTTAAGATTTTTTTTTAAGACAAGGTTTTGCTTCATCACCCATGCTGGAGTGCAGTGGTGTGACCATACTCACTGTAGCCACAAACTTCTGGGCTCAGGTGATCCTCCCACCTCAGCCTCCCCCGGTAGCTACAACTACAGGCCACCATGTCTATCTACGTTTTATTTGTAAAGATGAGGTCTTGCTATGTTGCCCAGGCTGTCCTCAAACTCTTGGGCTCAAGTGATCCTCCCGTCTTAGTCTCCCAAGTGCTGGGACTACAATCATGAGCCACTGCGTCTGGCCTGAGATTTTCAAAAAAATGGTGCAAAATCATGCACTATGGAAGATTTTGTGTATATCTTTTTAAAAGACATGTGTGGTTTAAAAAAAATAGGAAAGCTAGCCAGGTGTGGTGGCTCACGCCTGTAATCCCAGCACCTTGGGAGGCCGAGGCAGGTGGATCACTTGATCCCAGGAGTTCAAGACCAGCCTAGGTAACATGATGAAACCCCATCTCTACCAAAAATTAGCAGAGTATGGTGACGCGTGCCTGTTGTCCCAGCTGCTTGGGAGGCTGGGATGGGATGATCACCTGAGTCTGGGAAGTCAAGGCTGCAGTGAGCTGTGATCACACCGTACGCACTCTACCCTGGGTATTAGAGTGGACTCCATCAAAAAAAAAAAAAGCAAACACTTGGGTTTCTACTGCCACTTAAGGTGAGAAATAGCTCCTTGCTACCCAGTTTTCCAAATGCCCTGTGTATCTCTAGTCACGTCTACTTTCTCCTCCACTCCTTCAGCCTCAGGCCAGAAGTTTCTGCTCTTCTAATTTCTAAGCTCAGTACTTTTTGCTATTCTTTATCGTTTCACTTATTAATTTTTATTAGGTCAACTTGCTCTTTTCATTTAAATAAATTTAGTTTTTGGATTTTTTATTTTTTAATTACATAACTTTTTTTTGAGACAGAGTTTCACTCTTGTTGCTCAGGTTGAGTACAGTGGCACAATTTGGCTCACTGCAACCTCCGCCTCCCAGGTTCAAGCGATTCTCCTGCCTCAGCCTTCCGAGTAGCTGGGATTGCAGGCATCCACTACCATGCCCGGCTAATTTTTTGTATTTTTAGTAGAGACAAGGTTACACCATGTTGACCAGGCTGGTCTTGAACTCTTTACCTCAGGTGATCCACCTGCCTCGCCTTCCCAAATTGCTGGGATTACAGGCGTGAGCACCATGCCTGGCCACATAACTCTTAAATTGCACCGTTCAGCACCATTTATTATGTCCTCTATGACATGAAACCACCACCTCTATCTAGTTCCAAAGCCTTTTCATTATCCCCAGAGGAGACTCCATATCCATTAAGCAGTCACTCTCCATTTCTCCTCCCAACAATCTGCTGTCTGTCTCTGAATTTATCCATTCTGAGTATTTCATATAGATGGTATGGGATGATGTATGACCTATTGTGTCTGCTGGCTTTGTCCACTTAGCGTGATGTTTTCAAGGCTCATTCATACGTCAGTAGTTCATTCCTTTAAATTTTTTTTTTGATTTTTATGGATTTAGGGATACAAGAGTAGTTTTTTGTAGAGATGGGGTTTTGCCATATTACCCAGGTTTGTCTTGAATTCCTAAACTCAAGCAATCTGCCCGTCCTGGCCTCCCAAAGTGCTGGGATTACAGGTGTAAGCCACCACATCCGGCCTCCATTTCTTTCTTTATGAGTTCCTGAGCTGTTAGAATTACACAAGTTGATGTGTGTGAAGTGCTTAGCAGAATCCCTGGCAAACCATAAGAGCTCAATGCATATTAGCTATTGTTAGTATTGTTACTGTTTTTTTGAGCTCCACAAACTTTTCTTAAATGCCACACTGTACTCTGCCCTGTCCCCATCTTGGGACAAAGAGATAAGACACAGTTCCTGCCCTTGCAGAGCTCATAGTCTAATGATAGAGACAGTTGTGGCTAAAATATTATATACAGGGCCAGGCGCTGTGGATCATCTTGTAATCCCAGTACTTTGGGAGGCTGACACAGGAGGACAGCTTAAGGCCAGGAGTTTGGGATTAGCCTGGGCAACATAACAGGAACCCATCTCTACAAAAAATAAAATAATTTATTTTTTTTAAAATATGGTGTGCTTAAAGGCATAGTGGTGTGCTTCTGTAGTCACAGCTACTCGGGAAGCTGAGGCAGGATGATTGCTTTAGCCCAGAAGACTGACGCTGCACTGAGCTATGATTGCTTGAAGTCCAGGAGTTCAAGACCAGCCTGGACGACATAGAACTTAAAAAATTTAAATATGAGCCATGGGTAGTGACATGTGCCTGTAGTCCCAGCTACTCAGGAGGCTGAAGCAGGAGGATCGCTTGCGCCCAAGAAGTCAGGGCTGCAGCTATGATCATGCCACTGCACTCCAGCCCAGGTGACAGAGGCAAGACCCTGCCTGTTTCATAAATATATAGATATCAAGGGTGAAAGTTACATAATGGTGGAAGCTCTAACTTCTTGGGGCAAGGGAAAGGGGTCAGGGAAAACTTTACAGAGGTGATGACATTTGCAGCTGGCCTGGAAAGGTGAGTGGTGAAGGAGAGAAGGCAATGCTGGGCACTGCAAGAGCCAACAGGCATGGAGATGGTTGGAGCCTGCAGGATGTGCACATGCTCATATGCTTGGGAAGAGTTGAGCAGCTGTTGGCTTTGGATTACCCTGGCCTTGCCTTTGACAAGCCTCACTAGAAGTGTTCCTCCATCAGGCAGCAGCTGGCCAATTCCACGAATCTGAGGGCACCTCCTGTCCCCACCATGGGGGAGGAGGAGGAAGCTCCTGTCTGCGCTGTGCCCAGGTAGGCTGCAAGTTCCCTGTCAGCACTGGCTGCAGCCACCAGAGCCCAGCATGGATGGAAGCCAGGCTCTGTAGCCCAATCCTTGCCTGCATTGGCCTGGCTCCTGAGCCCACTCCTCAGGGGAGCTCCCTCCAGTCTGGGGTGACTATGACCTCCTCCTTGCTGGCTGGCATGCCTCCTGGCAATGCCCTGCTCTGTGAGGGCTGGTGGAAACACCATGTAGGGCAGAGGCTTACTCTAGCCACAGGACTGGGGTTGAATTGGACCAGGGGTCCGAAGGTACAGACAGGGTCCCTGCAGGCCTTTCTTTTACCAAGATTCTTGCCTTTACTAGCAGCCATTCTCCTGAAGGGATTAGTCCTGAAATATGGACCTTCCCTACCTGTGGATGAAGGACTTCTTTCAGCCCTAGAGCCAGGGTATTTAGCCTCTCCCTCTTCCCACCCAAAATGACATCAGCCTCACCCTTAAAAGGTAAAGACCAGTTTGGCTGCAAAATACTAGACTGGCTGATAAAAGGCACCAGTTCTGGAGTCAGACTGTCTGGGGTCAAATCCCAGTTCTGCAACCTCCTAGCTATGTCGCCTGGCGCAAGTAACTTAATCTTTCATGCCTCAGTTTCTCCATCCACAAAATGGATAATCATACCCATTGAATGTGCTCATCCAAGGGTCAGCACAGTTTCTGTAAAGGGCCAGAGGGAAAATATTTTAGGCTTTGCTGGCTTTGTAGGTCTGGGTTGTAGCTATTCAGCTTTGCCACTGCAGCAGATGAACGGGCACAAACAAAACTTGAACAAATGGGTGTGGCTGTGTACCAATAAAAGTTTATTTATAGATACTCGAATTGGAATCTCATATCATTTTCATGAGTCACAGAATCTTCTTCTTTCTTCTTTTATATTTAAAAGCAAATATAAAAATTATTGGCTTGGCACAGTGGCTTGTGCCTGTAATCCCAGCACATTTTTCGCCATGTTGCCCAGGCTGGTCTTAAATTCCTGAGCTCAAGCAATCTGCCCACCCTGGCCTCCCAAAGTGCTGGGATTAGCAGCTGAGGTGGGAAGATCACTTGAGGCCAGGAGTTCAAGAACAGTCTGGGCAACATAGTGAGATCCTATTTCTACAAAAAATATAAAATAAAATAAAATTCTTAGTTCATGGTTAAAAACAGAATTTGCTTTGCAGAACATCATTTGCAGTCCCCTATGCTAACCTATCTAGGTGCTTAAAACAGTACCTAACACTCTGTTCTTGGGTTGGCTTTAAATACCAACCAGGGATTTAATACCTGTTAGCCACTTTCAGGTGGGAAGATATGAATATGGTATGAAGTGGGTCGTCTGTGGCAGTTGGTTTGTTTGTGAGGGACAGGCCATTGATGATGCGGGGGTCAGCTCTGCCTTGGAACAGCTGCCCAGAGCATGGCTAACTGTGTTACCCCTCTTCCCATCTAAAGTGACATGAGCCTCGCCCTTTATAAGGCACAGACACGAATTGGATGTAAAATCATGGAGTCAGATTGTCTGGGTTCAAATCCTAGTTCTACCGCCTCCTCACTGTGTCACCTTGGGCAAGTAACAATCTTTCTGTGCCCCAGTTTCTTTACCCACAAAATGGGATAATGATATCCATCTCCTGGGCCCACCGCTGCCCCAAAGTGAGGACACCCTGACAGAGTCCCAGACCTCCACCACTGCACCCTGATTCCCACAAACACTCCGGGGGCCCTGGGCCAGTTCTCTGCATCCTGAGGGCATGGAGGCCACCTTTCCCCAGTGTCAATGACTAAGAACAGTTTATTCACAAACGGCTCCATCGTCGGGGCTGGCACTTTCTCCTCTCTTTGGCATCTGGCAGTAGTTGTTCAGCCTTGATACTCAATATCCTTGGGCTCCAGCCCAGGCTGTCAGTATGGGTGAAACCCTCAGCCTGGAACTTTGGAGGAGTCCTTCCTCCTCAAGACCCGTGGGGAGCTGCATCAGTCCTCACTCTGGCCTTTGCTTGGGCGAGCACCACTGCCTCAGCCTCCAGTCTCTAGTGACGTGCTAAGAGTTCAGGTCCTGGGATTTATCTCATCCTGGACAGCTGTGAGTGTTGCTGCGTCATGCCAGATGAGTCCTCTTACACATGCCCAGGCCCCATCTTGTGGTTTAAAGCAGGTTTTTTGGTCGGAGTCTCTGAAAAGCCCAGAGTGGGGCAGAAGGATCCCTGTGTATCTAGGGGGACCCGGACCCAGTCCATGCCCTTAGACCCTGGCTGGTGGTCCTGACTAGATCTGTCTTCTCAATTCTGCCTCAGAGCTCATCCAGCATCTGGGTATCTGTGAGCTGGTTGGAAAATGCCCTCTCCAAGCGCAAGGTATTGTATTTGGGGGGCGGTGTGCCGGGCACTTGGGTTCCTAGGGCTGGAGGCAGGTGCAAAGCCGAGTTGAAAGTGGGTAGGTCATCGTCTATATCCAGGGCTGGATTGTCCTGGCCCTGTGGGCTGCGGGGAGCTTCTGGACAGCGGGGAGCCTGCTTCCGGGCCCACCACTCCTTGGCTTTCTGCCACTGGCGGCGGGCAATGATAGAGAAGAAGTCGATGAAGAAAACCTCGATGATCTCAATGACGCAGACAACAGAGCAGCTCATCCACAGGCCCAGCTGGCCACCAAAGTTGGACAGAAGCATCTCAATCTGCAAGGAAGGCCAAGCCACACCATCAAGAGGGACCTTCCCCCAGGTTGGCCTCACATAGGGACCCCGATTCACAAGGGAGCCACGGGTCAGCCCGGACCCTGCATAGGCCGGGGGGAAAAACAGGCAGGCTTCCTGTCTCCTCTCACCCTGCACATTCTGACCTGAGACCTGGCTGGCCTATAGCAGCCCTTCTACAGCAGGCTGGAACCCCTACCCTGACTCTGCTCCCCAAGGCCAGGCAGATGGGCACATTTGTAGGCCCAGGATAGGTCCCGGAAGGAAGCCACTCTACTCACACTGTTGGCTGGGCTCTCCATGATAGATCTCTGGTTCAGGTCTTTGTAGAATATCAAGAGTTTGGCCAAGTCTGTCCTGCAAAATTCCAATAGGTGAATCAAGAGTCTTGGCATCTTACCAGATCACCAGTCCTTAGCCTGGCTGTCTCCCTGCTGCCCAAGCTTGCAGCACAGCCAAGGTGCTGAGCTCCTTGCGGGTATTGGGACCTGGCCCATAAGGGCTTGGTCTACACCCCAGAGTATATCTCCAGCCTGGATCTGGTCCTCAGGTCATTCATTCACTCAAGAACCGTTTCCCAACTTACAGACTAAGTCCATCCAGCCATATTGTCATTGTACCCTGGTCTTCATTAAACATGGACATTTGTAATTGTTCGATTGCAATCTCAAGTATATACGGGTAATATACATGAGCAGGGTAGTTGAGTATAAAGTATTATGATAAGAGGCATAATGGCAATGAGCATTTATGGGGGACTTCCTGTGTTGCCAAGCACTGTCATAAGAACTTTATGTGAATTAACTCACTGAATTCTCCCAACAGCCCTATGAGGCAGGTATGTACATTTTCATCATCCTGATTTCACAGATGTGAAAACTGAGCTGCAGATTGGTTAAGGAACTTGCCCAAGACTACACTGTTAATAGTTGGCTGAGCCAGTACTCCAACTCATTTAGATCTGGCTTCAGAGTCCATGCTTTTAACCATTGCACTAAACTGCCTCTTGATAGGATGACGATGAACTGGACCATCCAAAGGAGCAGTTATTACTCAGCTGCTCGGTGCTACAAAACAATGGAGGGTCGCTCTCGCCAGAACTTTAGAACTTTCAGGAAAAGCTTGAAATAATGGGTTGCTTTCATGAGGCCAGGTTTGGCCCAAGAATCAGTCACCAGTTTACAACACTTGGTTTAATGGTTTGCAACTGCTTAGTCAAAGTCTATTTTATCATTAGAGTGCAAGTACCTTGGTGGGCAGAGACCATGTCTGCTTGATGGTCCTGGTTCCCCTAGCACCTCACACAGCACCTGGCACCTAGGGGGTGCTCTATGAATGTTGGAAGCCAGATTGGCTCTTACAGTAGGCAGGCCCAGCAGTTGGCATGAAGGAGATGGTGATGGCTTAGATAAATGTGAGTTCACATGACATGATTCACAGGTGTGAGTTCACCATTCCCAGCTTTGAGGAAATGAATGAGTGAGTGAATGAAAAGGAGAGTGGGCCAGGTGCAGTGGTTCACGCCTGTAATCCCAGCACTTTGGGAGGCCGAGGCAGGTGGATCACTTGAGGTCAGGAGTTCAAGACCAGCTTGGCCAATATGGTGAAACCCCATCTCTGCTAAAAATATAAAATTAGCCAGGTATAATGGTGTGCACCTATAATCCCAGCTACTTGGGAGGCTGAGGCAGGAGAATTGCTGAAACCCAGGAGGTGGAGGTTACAGTGAGCTGAGATCATGTCACTGCACTCCAGCCTGGGTGGCAGAGAAATACTCTGTCTCAAAAAAAAAAAAAAAAGAGGATTTGGCCATGCTCATACTGAAGCAAGTGAGAAGGCTTGGGGCTGTGACAGGCAGAGGTAGAGGAACAGGGTAGAGGAAACTTACTTGTTGAGCTTTTTGTTTATTTGCCGGCCTTGGTCCCAAGTGAGAACGGGCAGCAACCACTTCTACAATGGAGAGAGAAAGAGTGGGCCTGACGATGCCTGAGAGGCCAGGCCCAGCCTCCCTCCACAGGCTCCCCAACTTGTCCCCCAGCCTCCACAAGTTAGCTCTCTTCCCCTTAGACCATGTCCCAGGCCAGAGGACACAGCAAGGATGTCAGCGAGGCTCCAGGCTGGGGGCTGGAGGGGGAAAGGCTAGGCAGAAGAATTTACCTCCGAAACCATGGATGGCCATTGTGCCAGGCTTGTGGTTAGTGTCCACTCCTTAAAGCTGAGGGAGGAGGAGACAGCGTGAGTGTAGGTGGCCCAGCCCAACCCAGTTGCCCACTTCATCCCTTGGGGTCCACATACCTGCAGGCTTCTTTGCATACAGACTGGCAGCCCAGCTCTTCCTGGACAAAGGCTCGATGCAGTTGGTAGTAACAGTACACTGAGGGACGAGGGAGAGGGGAGCCTGAGCTTTGGAGCCACAGGACCCTTCCTGGGTGTCCCTGGGTCACCAAGGACAGCCCCATAGTCTCATTTTAATGACCTCTCCTCCCACTTTCTACCAACACTGGCTCTCTGGAAACACATATTGTGTTGTGATGTTGGGAAACAGTGAGGTGGTTAAGGATGTGAACTGAAGGTCAGGTCGCCCTTGGTTTGGATCCGGCTCTGTTCCTTTCTGGCAGTGTGACCTTGGGCAAGCTGGTTAGCCTTTCTGGGCCTTGGTTATCTATTCTGTGAAAAGATAATATCCACAGTTCCTACCTCCTCGGGTTGACTAAGGTGGTCAGTTGGGAAGCATAATTCAAGCCAGGCTTGAACCGAAGTAAAACTCTAGTTAATGGCTCTCAACCATATCTCCTTCAGGCAAAATGCAATGGGGTGGGGGCCCAGGCTGCCTGTTGCTGGGGCTAGGCTGACCCTGGTCCTGGGGCATGCAAGGCTGGGGCTGGTCTCACTCACTCCAGTTGGGGTGCTGCTGGTAGTTGCAGTAGTTGGCTTCGGGAGGTAGAGGCTGGCTGTACTGCGCACACCCACATTTCTCCACCATCTTTGTCTGGAAGCATGAATGAAGGCAGATCTGAAAGGGGAGACGTGGGGATGCCACTCATGTTTTTGCACAGGGATGCCAAGGAGTTCCCTGCACATCCCTCAGCCCAGAGGGTCAGTCTCCCTAAGGCTTCACCAACCATATGAACCTGCCCCTTATGCCAACTGGGCTGGACATGGTCCCGGAACTCCAAAGGGCTCAAGCTGGAAGATGTATTAAGAGTTTATTTATTATTAACATAATAATAAATTATTATTATTATTCCGAGAATGTGAGAGAAGGCAGAACAGATCGTCTCCCTTAAGTGTTGAAAAACCAAATGCCTACAGGAGGCAGTGATGTAAGCCACATACTGGGGGGGTAGTGAGAACAATGGAAGCAAGAGGACACCTGCTTCGTTTATTGGGGTAGCTGCCCCCACTGTTCATCCTGCAGGAAATATGGGCTCCATGTTGCCTTATTATTTCATTTTTTTCAAGGGGCTGGAAATCTTGGTATTCTCGTAAAATTCCCTGACTTTTAAACACTATCCAGGCTCTTGAAAAACCTGGATGTATGCTGCCTGGAAGGAGACTGGGAGCTGCAAATTAGCAGTCCCTAATCCAATCCCACCTCCCCCTGTGGTTGCTGAGGGGAGCCCAGATGGCCCAAGGCCATCATCTAGTGAGGGGCACCAGCAGGCCTGGAAGCCACACTCTTGACCCTTTGGCCAGTGTCTCTCCCAGATCTCTTCTCTCCTGTCCCTCCCCTGCCAAGGCCCATTTAGGAGGTGGGTCTGTCTCGGCTGTACATTGAGTTCCACGCAAACCTCAGTGAATCAATTAAGCTCTGGTTACAGACAAACTGCAGAGGACTGGAACCAGCCGGCATCATTTGTTCTTGAGGTCTCTGGATGAACCCCAGGGATCCTCACCCAGAGTTCCTGGTCCAAGCCACACCCCAGCCTAGATATAACTTTGTCTCCTGGGTCCAGGCCATAAACCTAGGGCTGGGTGCCCCCGTCAATCTGTTACCTGGAGCGAGTAGGCAGCATTGTAGATGTTCCTGATTGGCACGTCACTCCCGTCCTCCGTGCACTGACTGTAGGGCTCGCTCAGCTTGAAGGACTCTGTCTGCAATCACAGCAGCACACACTCAGCCCTGTCCTCCCCCAGTACCCAGGCAGGGGGCTTTGCAAGGGGCACCAGACAGGGGACTTTGCAAGCAACGCTTGGGAGCTGAAAAGCTATTTGGTCACTCATTTAATGAAAAGTTAGTGAGCACCTATTAGGTGCCCAGTACTGCTGTAGACACTGGAAACAGCAATGATCAAATAGATAAGTTCTCTGCTCTCATGGAACATGCCTTCCAGTGGGGTAGACAGATGGTCAGCAAGCAAATAAATAAATAAGATGATTTTGGATAAACCTGGATGGTGTTTAATGAAATGGGGTAGGGAAAGTGAAGGGGTTAAGAGGAGATGGGCAGTTTTTCCCATAGGGTGCTTAGGGAAGGTATCTTTGAAAAAGGGACCTGTTGGCTCAACATGGAACTGTGAGAAAGAGCTGGTCTTATCAAGAAGTGGACAGGAAGCTGGGCATGGTGGCACACACCTGTAGGCACAGCTACTGGGGAGGCTGTCTCTACCAAAAATACAAAAAATTAGCTGGGTGTGGTGGTGCGCATCTGTAACCCCAGCTAGTTGGGAGGCTGAGGTGGGAGGATCACTTGAGCCCAGGAGGTCAAGGCTGTAGTGAGCTGTGATCATACCACTGCACTCCAGCCTGGGCAAGAGTGAGACCCTATCTTAAAAAATGAAGTTGAAGAAGTGGACAGAATATGGTTGGGTGGAGCGAACAGGAAAGGCTTGAGGCAGGAGGGGCTGGTGTAGCTGCAAATGGCAAAATAGAGAAATTGCTGGAGATGGAGTCAGATGGGAAGGTTGAGGCCAAATCATGCCCAGCTGAGAAATTTGTATTTCATTTTCGGAATGAAATGAATTTGCAGTTAACGAATCCACTGGGAGGAGGGAAGAGGGATTAGAATGAGCAGGGCCGGGTGCACTGGCTCATGCATGTAATCCCAGTACTTTAGGAGACTGGGGAAGGAGGATTGCTTCAGTCCCAGGTTTGAGGCTGCAATGAGCTACAATTGTGCTGCTGCAATCCAGCCTGGGTGACAGAGCAAGACTCATTTTGAAAACAAGAGAGAGAGAGAGACAGAGAAGAAGGGAAGGAGGGAGGGAGTGAGGGAGAGAAGGGGGAAGGAAGGGAGGGAGGAAGGAAAGAAGGACAGAAGGAAGGAAGGAAGGAGAGGGAGAGGGGGAGAGAGAGAGAGAGAAAGAAAGAAAAAGAAAGAAAGAAAGAAGGGAAGGAAGGAAGGAAAAGAAAGAAGAAAAGAAAGAAGGAAAGAAAGAAAGCGTAACAGGAAGGAAGCAGGGACTGTGAGTTGCCTGGGATTCCTGCTCAGGTGAAGGACTCATTGTCTTGTTTTTTGGTCCCAGGAGTTGACTTGAAAGATGTTGACTTTCTTAGAAAAAAGCCAAGGAAAGCTCAACGGAGTAGAATGCTACCCTGATCATCAGAGGAGGTAAACAGCATTGTCACTCAAAGTTCAAAAATCGTATTTGATGACTTTTTTTTAAGAGATGAGGGTCTCCCTCTGTCATCCAGGGCAAATGGAGTTCAAGGGTGCAATCAGGGTTCACTGCAGCCTCTACCTTCCGAGCTCAAGGGACCCTCCCACCTCAGCCTCCCCAAGTAGCTGGGACCACAGGCTCCTGCCACTGCGCCTGGTTTCAATGATGTTTTATTGTGGATTACTAAATTTTGCTCTAGCTTAATATTTGTTGCTGCAAATAAATAATCCAGCCAAGCCAGACAAGCAAAAATGGGGGTGGAAGGAGGATAACATTTTCGAAGGGCAGCATCTCAATGGAAGATAAATCATGACCAGTTTATCGCAACTGTGTGATTGTGCGCTGTGTGTGTCCACGTGCCCAGGTATAAACGTTTTTAGTTTTTTGGTTGGGGAGACGGAGGTAAAGCGAAAAAGGATGGCAGATTTGTGGGAGGGAAGAAAATTATTTTCTCTTTGAAGAAAGAATGAAAACTGGGGAAAAAGGAATTCAGAGGTTTGACACAGATGGAAACTGTAGCCATCTCAATTGACTATAATCCCTTTCTGTTTGTATTGCATTTCATCTGCTGACCCATTAGTCTCCCTCAATTAGCTGCGAGTACCTCCAGGGCAATTGGCGATGCTCATTTAAAAATGTTTAAACAACAGAAGCAAACAAACGGGAAAGTGGCTGTCTGACCTCCCCTCTTCCCCAGGGTGCCTGTACTAGCAGATGAGATCCTGCATCTCAGGCAGACAGACATGGACTCACGCGTTCACTTTGCACTGCGACCTGCCCTTCTCACTTATAAGAGTGAGCGTCTTTCTATGTCAGTACAGAATAAAGACTTAATAGCTGGGTAGCAAAAGCATGAAGGGCCTCTAGTGCATGCCAGGGCTGGGCTGGCCACAGAGGTGCAAAAATGTTGAACAGTGGCCTTCCTCGAGGTCACAATTCCATGCCATCCTCTAAGCTTCTCCAAGTAGCAGGATCCCTGGGTGGACACATTCCTATGCCCCTCCCAACCCCACCCTGCCCGGTCCTGTTGAGCTGTTCTCAGTGTCTAGAGTGTCAGTTACAGGCTCTACCTGCCCTGGGTAGGAAAGCACAATACCCTGCCATCTAGATGAGGGGTCTGTCCACTTAGGCAAGCTGTGTGCAGCCAGCAGGGATGACTGGGGCTCTCTCTACCCTGAGAACCAGCCCATGGGCCACTTCCAGGAAACCGATTATGAGAAACCATTTGGATTTCTACGCTTTCTGGGTATTCAATGGCCCTTTACTCTTCAACGATGCTTATCAAACTCGGAGCTCTTGGAAAGTTCAGGTTGTTTTCTGAAGCAATGGAAAGTAGGGCGAATGGAGCATATGTTCCATTCTGAGTGGGGTAGAGGTCTTGAGATTCTCAAAGCCTCAAATGCATGAACTTTAACAGAATGCTCTTCCCTCAGCCCCAGCTTTCAGTTTTCCAGAACCGCTGGCTTGTGGAGGCTTAAATTCTGATGGCTTAAAATATTACATGAAATAATAAAATAACTGGAAGCAAACTCAATTTAGTATCTGCTCTCAAAGAGGAAGAACTCATTAACATAATGACTAAAGAAGACATTCTGACTTCTATCCTGACCCCTAGGGACACACAAAAAAGTGTGTGTATATGTGTGCATATGTGTGAGTTTGTATGAGTATCTATGCATACACGTATGCATGTAAGAGTGTGTATGTGTGGTTGGGCACGGTGGCGCATGCCTGTAATCCCAGCACTTTGGGAGGCCGAGGAGGGTGGATCATGAGGTCAAGAGACCGAGACTATCCTGGCCAACATGGTGAAACCCCATCTCTACTAAAAATACAAAAATTAGCTGGGCATGGTGGTGCACGCATGTAGTCCCAGCTGCTTGGGAGGCTCAGGCAGGAGAATCGCTTGAACCCGGGAGGTAGAGGTTGCAGTGAGCCAAGATCACGCCATTGCACCCCAACCTTGGCAAAAGGGGAAACCTCGGTCTAAAAAAAAAAAAAAAAAAAGAGTATGTGTGCGGGTGCACACATGGGTGTGTGTGGATGTGAGTGGATTGTGCATGTATGTGTATGTATATGGGTATATGTGTCAGACATGGAGCCCATTTATATCAAACCAGGTACTATCTGCTTCTTTCTGAAGATCTTGGGGAAGGAGACAATTACATAGGAGTCCTTAGCTCACCTCTCTCTCTCTCTCTTTCTCTGTCTCTCTCTCTCTCTGTCTCTCTCTCTCTCTCTGTCTCTTTGAGGCAGGGTCTCGTTTTGTCACCCAGGCTGGGGTGCAGTGGTGCAGTCATGGCTCATGGCAGCCTTGGCCTCCTGGGCTCAGGTGATCCTCCCACCTCAGCCTCCCAAAGTGCTAGGATTACAGGTATGGGCGGCTGCACCCAGTGAGCTCATTCCTTAAGGTATAAACAGTGCTAAGGGAAAAAGCCCAGATGGCAGCAGAGCCAGAGGGGCGGAAAGGCGACAAGGGGAGGGCCTTTATCAAAGCCCCCACAGCTTCTGGGGTTAGAGAGGCAGCTATCACCTTCTTGCAACCTTGAGAACTTCCAACCAGTATAATCACTTCTCATCTGTGAGATGGTCAGTCCAGCCAAGCTATTTCCAGACAGGGTGGCTATCAGACCATTGTTCTCACATTTCAGTGGTAACTCTTGTCCTAGCCAGTAATCCCAAGTCACCTTCTCAGAAAGATTGGCTTCCTTGCCACAGCTGAGAGGTTTTCAAATTCCCTTCCACCTGCACCCTGATTTAGGGCCCATCACGGCGGTCAACAGGCTGGTCTCCCAGGCTCACTTACATTCATCCTGAGTTTCTCTTTCCATTATGTACATTCTGGGTAAGACTTCGTTTGAGTGACAGATTCTCCCAGTAGTAAAAAGGACTTCCTCTCCCAGCTACTGAGGGCATGGGGGAGGTGTCTAGCAGCCCCAGTCAACAGGCCAAAGTGGCAGCTGGCCTGCTGGTAGCCCAAGTCTGACTCTGGGGGTGTGTGGGGGGCCTTTCTTTCCCGTGGTTTCCACGCTCTGCCCTTGTTTCTCAGAATAGACTGCTGCTTCTGCCAGGGATGGAACAGCAGAGATGGCCAGGGTGGGGATGGAACAGGTGGCTGGCTTTTTTTCTTGAACTAGTGCAGACCTGGGGGGGGGACTATTTTTTGAGGGGGTGGGGGGGGGGGTGGGGAGATGGAGTCTCACTCTGTCACCCAGGCTGGAATGCAGTGGCGTGATCTCGGCACACTGCAACTTCTACCTCCTGGATTCAAGCTATTCTCTTGCCTCAGCCTCTGAAGTAGCTGGGATTATAGGTGTGTGCCACCACGCCCAAGTAATTTTTTTTTTTTTTTTTGTATTTTTAGTAGAGATGGGGTTTCACTACGTTGGCCAGGTTGCTCTTGAACTCCTGACCTTGTGTGATCTGCCCTCCTTGCCCTCCCAAAGATTACAGGCTTGAGCCCCTGTGTGGGACTTAGATTCATTATTGAGGAGG